GCATTTGGGGTAAAATTGGGAGTTCATAACCCACTTCAATCTAATGTATGAAATATGATATGTCAAGAGCTTTGTAATGTTGTGAACAATCAATAAAAAAAATAAAAAATTAAAAAAAAAAAAAAACTACATTTAGCCAGCACAGTGGCATATCCTTAGTGGCTTAAAATCCCAGTAATTTCAGAGGCTGAGGCAGGAAGATGGTAAGTTTGAGGCCAGTTTCAGCAACTTTTTGAGACCTGTCTCAAAATAAAAACATGAATAGGGTTGGAGATGTAGCTCAGTGGTAAAGCATCCCTGGGTTCAATCCCAACTGTGCCCCTCAAAAAGAAATCTACACTTTAAATAGGTACCTTGTATGGTATGTAATTTATGTCTCAATAAGTTGTTTTTATGTCTGTTTGCTTACCTCTCTACCTACTTACCTACCTTGCCTACTTATGCATATGGCCAGGATGTTTTTAGTTTCTTTTGGTGGTTGCATACAAATTTTATACCCTAAATAGTTTCTTGCTGCAACGTAAGCCGGTAAAACAAGAGCTGGTTTCAACCCAAGAGAGCTACGCTGCAGTCATCTAGTTTAGTCAGATGTGGATGAATTTCTGTCCTAGTCCAGCTAATGCAAATCTCATAAGGTCTGTGTCCAATCATGCAAAGCCTGAAAGCATTCAAAACGTACACAGCGAAAAGGAAGAGCAGTTAAAACAGACATGCATTTCTTACCTCCACAGCTAGCTTCTCTCGTGAAGGCTACGTGGTTTTTTTTGATGATGGAAAATTGCACCCTGTGGCAATTTGTAAGATGAATTATCCCCAAGAATAATGACCCACTAGAACATAGTAAATAGATATCCACTAACCATAAAAGGATTCACTGAATGACCAGCCTGGGTGGTTTTATGGTCTCCTTCCTGCTCATTTTTAGTTTTCTCATTTCTCTCTGTAAGGTGAACTCTGATACCATTCTTTTATAATAAATGGTAAAATATGGCAAGCCAATAAAAATACCATGATTCATCCCCCAAAATGTGTGCCCCAACTACAGCCTATTGCCATGATTGCATTTCTGATTGACCAGTTTGCAAAGAACCCCATCTTGCTATGTGCAAATAGCATGCTAGTAACATTTCTTTCTAGTGATGGGATAGTGCCACTAGGCTTCCCTGAGACATGAGTCGGTAGCTTCCTAGCCTGGCCCAGAAAACCCATGAAGTTATAGATCAGCTCAACAATGTCGTGATTAAAATGAAACAGCCAGGAAACAGTGAAAATCTGGAAAGCAGGCTTTCTAGGCTCTGATCTTCCTCTGATGAGGGAGACGTGGTGATTTTTCACAGAGGGGGTGATTAGATTTCCATATTCCTATTTCCTTTACACAGACCCAGCTGATTGATAAGAATTGTATGAACAATTTAAAAGCTGTTCTCTGCGAGTCAGAGGTTTAGCTAAATTGAAACTG